GGTTCTAGATCTTTGAGGAATGGTCACACCATCCTCCACAATGGTTGAACTATTTTACATCCCCGCCAACAGTGGAAAAGCATTCCTTTTTCTCCACAGTCTCGCCAGCATCTGTTGTTTCTTCACTTTTTAATTATTGCCATTCTGACTGGCAGGAGATAGTATATTGTGGTTTTGATTTGCTTTCCTCTAATGATCATTGATATTGATTTTTTTTTCGTTTGTTTCTTCTTCTGAGAAGTGTCTGTTCATATCCTTTGCCAATTTTTTATGGGGCTGTTTTTTTCCTTGTAAATTTAAGTTCCTTGTAAATAAACATGTGAGCTCATTGTTCTTGTTTAAACACCTAAGAGGCACTCTAACCAGTGCAACATTGCAAGAAAATTAACTAAGAGACCAATAGAAGGACGGGGTATGGTGGCTCATGCCTATAATCCTTGCATTTTGGGAGGCTGAGGTGGGAACATCACTTGAGTTCAGGAGTTTGAGACCAGCCTGATAGTGAGATCTCATCTCTACCAAATAAAAATAATTTTAAAAGAAAATGATCAATAGATAAGAAAGGAAGAAACAAAAGTCCTTCTTTGTCACCAGCTTCATTGCATATGTAGAAAAAGCTAGGAGATTCTGAAAAAGTCTCTGGAATTAATCATTGAATTTGCAAAATAGTTCACAAAATATATTTAATAAGTCACTCAGATGAGCATGAAAAGATAGTAAACAATACTAATCATCAAAGAAATGCAAGTTAAACCACAATGAGAAACCATCACACATCACCTAGAATAGGTAAAGCTAAAAAGACATATGATAAGTCTAAATACCATCAAGAATATGGAAAAAATAGGAATGTCTGATATTGCTGGTAGGAATGCAAAAAATGTGGCAGCCAATTTGTAAAGCGGTATGGCAATTTCTTATACAGTTACCCATCCATTACCACATGACCCAGCAATTCCACAAATATGTATTTATTGAAAAGAAGTAAAAATGTAAGACCACACGTGTAAGCAGTTATTTCTAGTGGCTTCATTAATAACAAACCCTAGCTGGAGTAATCCACATGTCAGTCAACTAGAGAATAGAGAAACCAGTGAATAAACTGGGATTCCAGCAATACTCAGCAGCTGCTCAGCAACAAAAATGAGTGAATGGCATCATCTCAAACATCGTTATGCTAAATGAGAGACCAAACGAAAGACTACATACCATACGATTGCATGTCCATTAAATTCTAGAAATTTCAGTATTGCAGTGACAGAAAACAGAGCGGTGGTTGAGTGAAGGGAAGGGGTGAGGGTGGAAGGCAAGGATTAAATAGAAAGGGGCACAAAGAAAGTTTCTAGGGAAAAGAACCTGTTCTCTACAGTGCCACAGTTCAGGAGTAACTGGGTGGTGGGAACTAAGGGGAGAGGAAGGTGTGAGGGATGAGGGCAGAGAGAAGGGCTGGGGAAGCAGGAGGTGAGGACAAGGAGCAGGGGAAAGGACTCCAAAGCAGTGGAGGAACCTAGCAGGGGGTTCTCTGC